TTTTTCTCTGCAAATGAAAATAAAGGCACCTCTATCCTGAGAACTTAATAATCAATTTCTGCCTTACCCATCCCCCACCCCCCCCCACCAAAAATCAGCAAAACCAAACCAACACAGCAGTAATTAACACAGCATTGTAAATAAACTATACTTCAATTTAAAAAAAAAATCAAACCAAAAGGGGTCAGGTGTGCATCTTGAGGGGAGGACCTGTGAACAAAGGCCATCAGAAAGGAAAAGCACAAAGCAGAAGTATGGGTGGGTCAGCAATAATTCTAGTTTTCCGGGGAGTGGGTGGAGTAAACAATGGGAAACAATGGACAGAGGCTGAAAGGGAAATTGGGGCCACATTCACATCCTTCAAGGCAAGGAGAGGAGCATGGAACTGGTCAAGCATTCTAACAGACTACAGCAGGTGGCTGAATCCCAGTTCTTTCCAAACACCTCTTTTCTGCGGAAGCAACTTCCAGTTATTAACTTCACTTAATTCTTATTTTGTAATAGTGCCCATTTACCAAGTGATCTGCGAGAGTTTAAAGCTGTTTAAATCCCTTTAGAAGAGGCAGTCACATATATATATCCTCACAGTAAGGTTCTATAAATCAGTCTTCTAAAGAACTACTGCAATTAAACAGCCAGCATGAAACTACCCAGCCCTCAGCCAGGTCTGGGGTTCTTATCCCAGGAATAGGAACTCCATTCTTGTGAGTGCACTCCATTATCAGCATCTTCTACAGGAATATATATCCTGGAAGAAAGCAGCTTTTCACTCTCCATTAATATTTATTGAGTGCCCCTCTGATGCAAGTGGAAGGCAACTTGACAAGATGTGCCAAGAGCCTTAAGTGTGTTCATTCCAAGAATCCATCTAAAGAAATAATCCAACATGTATATAAAATTTATGCGTAAAAATGTTTAATGAACTGAACAAATTATAATAACTGAACATACTATAAGGAATCTAATTTCCAAAAATAATGGAATAGTTAAGTCATGGGATAGCTATATGAGGATATAATAGTCAGCCATTAGAGTTGTTTTTTTTTTTCTTTTTGGCTGCGCAACGTGGCTTGCAGGCTCTTAGTTCCCTGACCGGGGATTAAACACAGGCCCACGTAATGAAAGTGCCATTTCCTAACCACTGGATTGCCAGGGAATTCCCCACTAAAGACTGTTTTTATTAGAGTTTAAAAATGATATAGAAATGGGACTGTGTTCTAATATTAAGTCAGAAAAGGAAATATATAACTGTACATCCAGTGTGATCAATCAAATAAATTTTAAAAATTATTAAGAAAACTATATACACACAAACATAGCTCAAACTAAACACAGCAACACAGCTGTCCCTGGGTTCTCGGATTTTGAGCTTTTCTCTAGCTACTTCATAATTCTCTGTGCTCTCCAACTCTTCAACTATGAGCATGTACTCTTTCAATAACCAGAATACAAAAGTAAAAACTGGGAAGAAATATAATAAAATACAGCTATCTCTAGGTAACAGGATTGTAAGTCACCTTTAGTTTTATACTTTTCTGAATTTTCTAAATTTGATTATACACAAGAATTGTTTTTAAACATAGAGCATATTTACTCATGTGATATGCACACATTAAACACTACACATGAAGCTTTAGAAATATGTGAGAAATAATGATGATGATATTTATACAAACACAGTGATTACAATTTCATAATAAGTGTGTGTGCACATGTGGAAATGTCCATGGAGAGTTGTTTAAAAATGAAAAAGTTTTGTGTACTTTTTTGTAAAATTAAACATTGATTCCCCCCACAACATTTTATCATGAGACCTTTCAACCATACACCTAAACTGAAAGAATTTATAGTGAACATCTGTATACCCACAACCTGGAGTCTACCATTAACATTTTACTATACTCAATTATCATGCATCTATCCAACCTATATCCATCTTACTAATCCTGTTTTTAAAGTTGAGGTATAGTTGATTTACAATATTATATTAGTTTCAGGTGTACACCATAGTGATCCAAAATTCTTATAGATTATATTCCATTTAAAATTTTTATAAAATACTGGTTATATTTCCTGTGCTGTATAATACATCCTTGTAGCTTATTTATCTTATATATAGTAAGATATATAAATTTGTGCCTCTTAATTAAAATTCCTAGTATAATTATTTTTGAAGGCAATATATCACATGCACAAAGAAGCTATAGCATTTGTCTTTGTTCTAATTTCAAATTTTTAAACATTCTCACAAGCAGAAGACAATTAAGCAGCACCAAAGTAGATAATTAACAATAAGTCTATTGATTCACTGTTTCAACTGGCAATAGGTTTTCTCCTTTCACATCAATTCCGAGCACTGTCACCTCTAATCACCCCTCCCCTTATTACTTAGATCTCAGTATAACTGCTATTTGCCTCAAGGAAGCTGTATAGTACTGAAGTCACCAGGACAATCAAAGAACCAAAAGAAATGGTACGATTTTAATTATATTTTCAATTATTGGGGGGAAGGGAAGCATGTAGTTGGGACTAGTAAAGAAAACAAGAGGAAGAAAAGACAGTTCAGACTGAAGTTATGAGCTTAGTTGTTATGCTAAGATAACTTCCTGGAATATCATCAAATTCAGTAAAGATTTTTCTAAGGCAAGACAGATCAGAGGAACTTGCTTCATCAGCTAGTCCCATGCCACAGTTATGCCAAAGAGCAACACCAATGCCAAGGCTGAATGTAACAATGCTGGCTTTAGATCTGTTCTGCTTTGTCTCCTAAGAATGCCCAGTGGTTTCCAAAAAGCCTTCAGGTATACCACGCCACTCTACAGATGTCTCACGTCACAGTTCTACCTCCAAGGCCTTCTAGCACCTGTAGCCAAACTCCTGACCCAGACACCCCCAGTCTCCAGAATACCACATACGCCTTTAACAAAGAGCCAGGTGAGAATGAAGTGCATTCATGAGTGCTGAGGAGAAAAAAAGAAGGGCCTCTGACTTTTTCTTCTTTAGAACACAGAGAACCTGGACATTCATAACCACTGACAGTGACATACACTTGCCATCATTCTATTTGTATCAGAACTGAACTAAAGTTATATTTAATGAGGCCAGAACACACTGTTATACTAAAGCTTCACCCAAAATACAAAGAATTTTTGTCAGACTATTTTTAAGCCATAGTATTAAAAAGTAGTTGATAATAATAATTTCTAAAACTCAATTTCATTTATACCTAAGTATATTTATATGTGAGAAAAATCCTAAAGGATATACACCAAAATATTAACAGTGGTGAATAACAAGCGATTTTTATTTCTTTACCTTTTGGTATTTTTATATCGTTTTGCTATAAGCACACAATTTTTTAATATTCTGATTTAGGGGTGTGTCCAATTTGATGAAAATAAAAGCTTTCACATTTTATTTATTTTTTGGTTTTTTTTTAGCTTTCACATCTTAAAAGTAGAAAAATATAGACTATTTCTGGAATTTTTCACCTTGAATTTTACTATTACCCTCTCTCAAATGATCTCCTTCTAGGTAAATTATATCAAATACTAAGAGTAATGCAACTCAATTAGTTCAACGTAGGATCTAAACCATAACTGAAGTTAGATCAAAAGATCAAATTAAAAACAACTAAACCAAAAATTGACTGCCACCATTTACCGAAAAATAATATGGCTCTTTGTTTTTGAGTAAAGAGTCTATAACAAAAGATTTCCTAACAGCAGCAGGCTGATTATGTGGTATACATAAAGTATACCAAACAGGCACAATAAGAAGTGTTTGGCACTGGGATTTAAAAATCTGTAACAATGCTATGGAGCCTGCCCCTTCCAAAGTCTCAGTCTCACTTATCTTGCTAAGAAAGCTCAGCTTTATACACAGCTCAACTCCTTGCCACAGCTCAGCTCTGGACATTGCCAGGTGAGAAAGAATGGGTGATGGATTCAGAACAAAGTAGGGTTTTCAACTTCAATTCCACCCATGGCAATTTATGAAACCTGATTCTTAATTTCCTCATCTCTGATAAAAACCACCTTGTGATATTGCTCCAAGGATTAGAGAAATGTATGTTTAGTATCTATAGTAGGTACCCAACAAATTATTACGATATAACTGGGTTGCCTATGAGACAGATGTTAGTTTCTCCTTTTGATGTTAATGCTAATATGGAGCAATTCCACTGTACTTAACATCAAATGTGTACCTGAAAACGATGATTTGCCTGTGGGTGTGCGAGTTGGCTGAATCCTGGACACAGGGAAGCTGCCTTCCCTGCACCTTCCATTCCTGCTTAGTACCCTCTGAGTCTCCTTTGTGTTGCCTCTGACAGCCACTTACCACATCTACCCCAAAAGTAGGAGAGTCAGCCTGTCTGGGTTTGTAAGGTATCCATTTCCCTGTATTTATTCCTTCTTCCCATTTCTTTCAGGGCCAGTTAACAGATAAAAGTAGGAAGATGGAACTGCTAGTTTACTTTATGGATTTTCAAATTAGCAACAGAGCTACAGGCAAAAGCATTCTAAGATGAACTCCCATTTAGGAAAATACGAATGAGTCAGGTTGAATTTTGTGTTTCCAGAGGTACAGCCAAGAGACATCTGCTTTTTGTATTAATAACACTAAATCTTTCTTTTAGAACAGGTTTTGTTGTTAGTAAAGTCTCCCCTCCAAACTGACCGCCCCCAACCTTCTCTGCTGTGAGGTGACAACCATATGGCATTCGTGATTAAGGTTTCAAATATCAATTTGAGGAAAGGAGATCTTAATTGTAAAAAGACAGCTCCACCCAATAACCTACAACCATAGGGACTTGGCAAGCAATTTTTGAACACAATAGCAAATCATTTTAAATAAACTCGATCCAGTGATCAAAAGAACATGAAAGAATCATGACCAGCTATGAAGAGAGATCCGCCCCTACAGGACCATCACCACAGGGAGGGAAGCACTGCAGCGACCCTGTGCACAGCCCTCCTTGGTGCTTGTACAGTCCTTACCTGACAGTCAAAGTCCTGGAAGTGTCGTGTACCGTTCTGTCAACAGAAGGCAGAAAACACAGTCAGTTTCCCCATGTGGTTTCCCCAAACGTGCAGCAAATTCAGTTCACAGTGAAAGCAGTGCATGTGCAGCCTCTTGGTTGCCATAAAACTAAAATGGTTGGCTTCAGAGGCAACGCATGTCAGTAAAAGGGGAGTCTTTAGTGATGGAGTTACACTTTGGCAGGCTTCCCATGAAGATGAAGGAAAAGAGTCTGGTTTCCTAGTAAAGCTTGTAACTTGTCTCCCTATCTAAGGAGAGCAGGGAGAGCTTGTGGGAAGAGAGAAAACATGGATCAGAGTCTGAGAACACATTCACAATCCACACGGGAGGTACGTGGGAGGAAAGGAGCTGGAGGCCAACTCTGACAGGAGCCAGCGTGCCCAGGACAAGGAAGCAAAGAAAGGACGAAGACGAAAACAAAGATACAGATGGGTCAGGAATGAAAGATCTGAAATTTAACAAGGAAGAAAGGCAGTGTCACTGAGGGAGGGAAACAGATAAAACAGAGTTCCTCATACACTGGTATATCCTAGGACACTGCTAACAGGATAAAGGACAAATCACTGAATTGTTTAAAAACTAGGACATAGTCAAAAGATCCAAGGAGAATTCACCAAGCTTCTAAGAAGAGACTGTATCATAGTAAGGTTGGATTGCCCAAAAAAATCAATGGTAATGACTCAGAGGCATTTCTGTAATATTTCAGATGCCAGAGGTGCAAGAGTATGACATAAGAGTATAAAAAGGGTAAATGAGTGATGTCTTTGGGAGGGAAAAAACCCTTCTGACTCATAAAGTAAAAGCTCCTCCCAAACCTCATTACCTTCATTATTCAGAAACTGTTATATCCGTCCACCTTCCGGAAGGTGTGGAGCTATAATGATAATAAGCACCTTATCCGAAGCTGCCCCTTCAGAGAAGATCGAGGTCTCTGATGCCAAGGGAGTACTAAGCAATCCCATCTCCTGTCAAGAAGATCCTCTTAGAAACAGTTCTGTGTCCTACCATTCACACTGCTGGCAGGACAAACAGAGGTTAAAAGCACAGCCCAGCCTGGTAAGGAAACAAACTGTCCTCCCTTGAGAGGAACTAGTGGAGCTGGGATGATGCTCAGCACTCTTCAATACGGCAGCCAATAGCCACAGCTGCCAATTTAAACTAAAATTTAAAATTTTGTCTCACTGTCACATTAGCTGCATTTCAAATGCTCAGCACACATGTGTGGCCGTTGGCTACTGTATTACTGGGCAGTGCAGATACAGAACATTTCCTTTGACTGCAGAAACTTCTAGTGGACAGGGCCGATCTAGACAGCTTTTGAAGGAATAAGATTATGGATGAGCAGCCCTCATCTCTCTACCAGTGGCAGTAAAGTCACAATAGATTACCAATCACAGAGAGACTATTGATGACACTGAGAAAAGGAGAGAGTGGTGGAGACAGCTAGCCCGAGCTATTAGTCCTGGCACGAAACCAAGTTCACAAAATAAAGTTTGAAGCAGTCACAGCAAGGAGAAACAACTATGATGCCATGCAGACAGCACATTCCCATGGAATGCTGCCATTGGTAAAAAGGATCATAGTGTTCCACGGCCCCCACTGGCCCCACACAACTCCTGAGACCTCCTTCAGAGAAGTCATTGTACTTAATTTCTAGTTTGACTGTGAGAAGCAGAAGGGAGCGCCATCTCAGGGACTCAGGTAGATTGTTGTAGTAGGATATAAACGACCAGCCAGTGAGTCCCAGTCCCTGATTCAACTTGCATCCTCCACCACATTCAGCAGAGGGCCAGGTGTAAGTCAGGTACTTGATGGATATTTATAAAAGGAATAAGCCAATGTAATGAAATTAAGTACTGACAAGTTTCTGTTAAGATTTTGGTCAAAAACACCAGAAAAATTCCACTGCATCCCAGTCATTAAATAAAAATACAGACTACAAAACAGTCGTCCAAGTTTGACCTCAACTATATTAAAATATGCTCCAAAAGAGACTAGAAGAAAAATACCCAAACATTAACAACAGCAACTATTTCAGAAGAGAAAGTTTATGGGTGATTACACTTCTCTTGAAACTTTTCTACAATGAGCATGTACTTCTCACCTTTTGCAATGAAGAAAAAAAAAATGATTTGGTTTGGCACAAAAAATGTCTATAACTTAGTATTTTGTATTATATGATTTAAAGATTCATTTAATCTTTTCAGGAATAATCTGTAATGATATCAAAACAGACCCATTACAGCTTCAATCTTATTGGGCTCCCAGAGTTTCCCTTAGAGATTATTTAGAAAGCTTAGGGAAAATCACTCCAGTCTGAACTAAAATCTTGGTCCTGGAACACAGACACACAAATTCTGATGAGCAATTTGCGAAGCAGCTGTCGCTGTATGCATGAATTCTTTCTTCCCTATCTTGTGATCACAGTCAAGAAGCATTTTGTGAGGCTGAAGCTTGAGATGAGCACAAAGGGAAATGCCAAAAGCAGAAAGATGCGATTCTTTCCTGAAACCAAAGTGATCTTTGTTGAGAACCTAGCAAGAAAACAGTTGCACATTCTTTATGCAATGTTCACCTCCCAAAGAAAAGATACTAGTAATCAGAGGAAGACTAACACTTGTTTTCTTGGCTTTTTTTTTTTTTTTTTTAAAGATGTCAGATCCTCTTGGGAGTCTGGCTTCAGGCTTCATGAGTGATCATGCATCTTGGACAAAGGATATGACTGGGTCAGTCTGACCGTGTTTGGTGCCCAGATTTTCTGAGCGAAGATCATTAGCTGGTCCCCAAATGATCTGAGTGTGGTCAACCAAAGCCAAATTCTCTGAACTCATTAAAAATTCAATACTGCTCACTAGATAGATTCTGGAAGGGATAAGACCTCCCTGAGGCACTTCCCTGGGAATTTATTTGTCTCTGATATTTGCAGTGCAGGGTTCCACTCCAACAAAACTTTCAGAAGTTTCAGGCTCTGGGTTCTTTCTTTTTATTTTCTGTCCTTTTTGAATATAGCATTAATTCCATGTTCAATAGAGATTCTTGCACTAAGCAGATTTAAGTAGCAGAAAGGGATTCAAGATAACAAGTTAAAACAATAGAATAATGTAGGGGAAGAGGAAAAAAAGGAAAAATCAAGGAAAAAGAGAAATCATAACTGAAAGTTGCAGTCAAGGTAGAAGCCAGCTAAGGGGCATGTTTCTTGGTGGAGGCTCTAGGCCAAGTGCGGAAGGTAAATGAAGGAGCTCAAGAAAGTAAATTTTAAAAAAGTAATTCTCTCAGTTCAAGCCTGGAGAATAGGCAAAAAGCAACTGAGAATCTATCAGTGTATGAAGGGAAGTATAAGAAAAGGGGGGAAGGCAAGGAGAAAAATTTAAGAATCAAGTAACTGCTGGACAGTTATAGAAATATAACTGGACAGAAGAGAAACATACTTTCCCACTATCAGATCAACATATAGTTTCAAAAGACAGAAAGAAACAGATAAAACAGAAGAAAGACCTCAGGACCAACTAAAAACAGGAGGAGATTTGGGGCAAATCGACCTGTTTGGTGACCTTGTTGTGGGGTGCAGTGTCTGACTCACTACTCTATTCCCAGTTCTGGCACTTAGTAAAAGCAATAAACATCATTCTGGAAGAGATATGAGCATCTCAAAATAGAGATACTCAATTTGAGTAAGAAATGAATTCCAAAGAGGAAGAGTGACACGCAACTGATGAGCTTGGAACTAAGGTACAGTTGTTAAAACAGGAAAAGTTTTAGAAACAAGCAGATTAAAGACTGCCAAAGAGAATAAAATATGGCATGTCTACTAAGAAAAAAAAGGACAATAACTCTTGTCAACAGAAAGTAGAAAGATGGGAAATTGTACAAGCAATGTATTAATAGCACTTCACAAATACTCTTTAATGAAAATGTCAATAAATCTGTGTTGCTGTTGTTTTTAAAGAAACTTTGGAGGGTATGGGGTGGCGGGGAGGTTCAGGAAGGAGGGGCTATATGTATACTTATGGGTGATTCACAGTTGTTTGGTAGAAATCAACACATTGTAGAGCAATTATCCTCCAATTAAAAATAAATTAAAGACCAAACAGAACAACCTCTGCCTGTCTCTGCTGCCCTGGGGATGACTGAAATGCTTATCCCTCAGTTCTTCCTGCTTTTCCTCTTATAACATCCTCCCTACCTTCTCTTATGTTTCCAGTCACCAGTAGAGAGTCTACCTCACTTTCTACTGTAATAACCGAAACAAATTAATAACTTGTTCCTGTCCCCCCAATGAATATTTATTCCCCTTCTTGGTAGGTCCCCAGTTCTGCTGAAGCCAACTGTGGTCTCCTATTTATTTTCTCAAGTCTGGTCTTTGGCTTTCACAGGCTCAGCAGTATCTGAACTGAAGGTAGGTAAAGGAAGGCAGGGAACATGAAGGCAAATTGGGGAGCTCTCTTGCTTATACAGGTCTGCGGAGGTGGGGGAAGAGGTTGGAACAACCAACTACAAGAGGCAGCAGGTGGTGGGAAGAACCTTAGACCCCCTGACCCAGGCTGAAGTCAACATCCGTGGAGTCTGGTCCTGGCTTCACCACCTCACTAGACACCAGCATTGGACAAGTCATATAATTTCTCTGAGCCTCATCTATAAAATGGAGTTAAAATACCTTTAACTACTTCCTTCACAAGAAGTTAGGAGATTCAAATTAGATAGTACTTGTGAAAATGCTCTGAAAATGGTTAAATGCTATTAAAAAAAAATCATTTCATATAATTCTGTCTCAAAAAAAAAAAAAAAAAAGCCCCACACAGAAGTACTGGCAGGTGCTTCTTTTCATCACTGGAGCCAAAACAAGCATGGCAAAATTACCCACTTCTTCATAATTCTGAGCCATAGACAAAATCACAGGCATACTAAAATTAAATGGGAAAAGTACCAACAAATGACAAGAAAAAAGTTAACATAAGCCTCACTTAAAGCTATTTTGAGAATGCTTCCTTATAGTCAGCTCAGGATAAATTTCTGCATTTCAGGTTGGGTCTAGACTCCCTTTAGCTCCCTGAAACCTGGAAGGGCACAACAATGTCTCTGACTAAGAATGTATCTAGGAGGAGAATAGACAGAAAGATGATGTGAAATGATATGAACCTCCAGGTTTCTGCTTACAGAGAGAGGGCAAGCCTCAGAGGTGACACCAGAACTTCTGCAGGGTGAACACAGCGGCAAGGCCGTGGGCTGTGCAGCAGGAAAAGTTTGGGTTTCAATCCTGGCTCTGCCACTTCCTGGCTGGGCAGGCCTTAGAGTCAGAGGTTCATCTACTAAGTGAGGAAGACGATCTATTTCAAAGGAATGTTCTGATGATTAAAAGAGAGAAGGTATGTAAAGTACCCAGCTTTACATAGGCTACGATAGGCTATTAGGCAAAAATAAAACCTCCCCAAAAACTAAAAGCTCTAAGACTTCTTTTCCTATTCAAATCTGGAAGCTTATACCCTACCAGCAGTGGTTCTCAACTGGGGAGACTCTGACCCCCAGGAGACATCTGATATTGGCTGGGGACAAGTTTGGTTGTCATGACTGGAAGATGCTACTGGCATCTAGCGGGCAGAGAGGCCAAGGATGCTGTTAAACACCCTACAATGAATAGGGCAGCCTCCCACAACAAAATATTTACAGTGCTAAGATCAAGAAACCCTGTCCTACAGCATGTGTTCCTGGGTACACAACCTGAGTAAGCTACTTCACCTTTCTTAGCCCTCGTTTCCTCATCAGCAATATGAGAATGAACTGATCTGTGTGTCCTAAATCACCAAGCCCTTGGGAGGACCAAATGAAATAACGGATGAGAAGCACTACTGTCATTAAACCTTTCAAAATGTATGCAAAAGCACCCACTTATCGAGCAAAGGCAGAGCACTGATATGCTGGGGAGTGGGGGGTGGAACGGGGTAGAAGGCTTTGTCGGGAATGACATTATCTGAAGAGGGCCTATTGCCAATCTACTTCTATAAAGCTTGGCTGGAGCAGGGGGAGTGCTCATGAATAGTGATGGACTAGGAGCACTTCCCAGGGAGACAGAGGAGTGAGATGGAGCGTGGGAAGTGGGTAGGGACTGCACAGGCATATCAAAGAAGAGTTAACAGATGTTAGGAAGTGAGACAATGCTTGGTATCTTAGACTGCTCAGGCTGCGTGAACGGCTTATACAACAAAAATTTATCTTCTCACAGTTCTGAAGCCTGGAAGTCCAAGATCAAGGTTCCAGCAGGGTTTGGTTTTTGGTGAGAGCTCCATTCTTGACTTGCAGATGGCTGCCATCCATGTTTCCTCATCTGTCCAGGGGTGGAGGTAGAGGGTGGATCTCTCTTTCCCCTCTCCCTCACTTTTCTTATAAGGCCATCAATTCTATCAGATTAGGGCTCTACCACATGACCTCATTTAACCTTAGTCACCTCCTTAAAGCCCGTATCTCCAGTACAGTCACATGGGAGGCTAGTGCTTCAACATATGAATTTAAGGGGAGGAGACATAATTCTGTTCATAGCACTTGGGCACACATCAGACACAGCCAGGGAATCATTAGAGCCTCAGAGATGAGGACCCAAACATTAATCCAACGTTTTTCTGCAGTTACAGTCACAGAATCTTTTCTTTTCCAGCTGCCTTCTCTATGAGACATCCAGTCAATTAACTCCTGCAATTCTTCATGTAGGTGCTTCAGGCGCCCTGTGGACTTCCATGGTCAGGGAAGACTCCTCCTCTAACCTGGGCCCCAGTCCTTGAGGGTCTGAGATCCGTCAGGTCACAGGCTTCCAACACTGGCTCATCAGAATCACTTCAGGCATGGTTCTCAATTTTTGGATGCTTTTATAAACATTCACCCCAGACCAATTCAATCATAATCTCTGGATTGATTATTGGTTATTTTAGGCATTGGTTATTTTTAAATCTCCCCAAGTAATTCCAATAAGCAGCCAAGGCTGAGGATCAGTGATCATAGAGGGGTGTGCGTGCCCTGTGCCCATCCCCTCAGATTCCAATTTAGTTGTTTTAGAGTGGGGACCCAGGAATCTGTATTTTTAAACAAGTCCCTAGCTGATTCTGGTGATCACTCAGGTTTAGGATACGTTTCTAAGTTCCTGAAGCTAAACTGCCTATCCCCACCTGCCCTGTAACTATTCATTTCTGTGGCTGTACATAAGCATTACAGATGCAGATTCTACTTCCTTCCTCCTCTTCGTGGCCCATCATTTGGGGACAGCCCTTCACATGCACCAAAATTCAGTACTTAAAGGAGAGTTTTCTGAAAACATGCAGGGAAGCAACAAAACAAGCCAAATAAGGGCTTAAAAAGTGTGCAGCTTGCCAAGGGGGAAAGCAAGAGATCTGACGAAAGATAAAGGAAGTGGGGGGAATAGGGGTAGAGACGAGGTCACAGGGACAAGAACGGGGTTGACAGGTTTCAACAGCAAATTAGTGAACACAGAATAAGTCAACAGCCCTAGAAGCTATAGGTGAAGGGCCCTGCTTTGGGCAAAAAAAGATTAACAAGCAACAGCATCTTCTGGTATAGCCCCCATTGGCATTCTGACCCTACCCACATTTACCCTGACTTTCTATCAATACTTCCCCAGGAAAGGAAGCCATGAGCTCATCCATACCAAGAGTAATTTAATAGGGGGCAATGACAATATATCAAAAGAACAGGACTTAAAAGAAGGAATTTCAGGCACACTTACTGAATGGAGAGGGAGAAGAGAGAGAATAAACCTTTCTTAGCTTTTTGGTAACTTTTATCATCACAGCACTCTTTACCTGCTGAATCCTGGTGACTGTTAACTATGATGATGCTCACTGTGTATTCTCTGACATGAACGGAAAAATGAGATATATTACCAACACCCAGGCACCCTTGATGAAAACCTCAACGTAGACAGAGAGGTCACATCACAGACTGGACAAACCTTACGGAGAGCACCGCAGCCTGTGTGCATTACCAGCCATGGATGCTAAGTTTTCCTTATAGAAATTGAAAGTCACGATACCTGGATTCTAAAGCAAACCCCACTCTCATACTTTCTGCTTAACATCTCTATCTGTAGAACAGGAACACGTCAAGGATAATCTGACTGAATCTGGCTGGTGGAAACAAAAGTAGGAAGAAAGAGAGGAAAGACATCAAGAAGGTTAAGAAATATATTTTTTAAAGTTTTCTCCACACAGAAAGTCAAGATAAATATATTTTTAGTTACTATTCAGATGATATAGAAAATAAACTAACTACAGAAGAAAGGACTTACATATATTTAGTGACAACAGCAGTCTTTACCTTATCATTTAGAAGTGGTTTGATCTCTGTGAGTTGAACATCCTGGAGTTCATCCATGAGGACAGATCAGAGTAGAGGATTCTCAAGAATAAATCAGTAACTCTGAAACAGAAATGGAGAAAAAGGCTTAAGACTAGGAGTTGGAAATATAATGGTCACACTACATCCATTCATTCAAATATGAGAGCTTAGTATGTGTCATGCACTGCTCAGGGTGCTGAAGACACAGTAAACTAGACACTTATGGCTAACAGACTCTAACGTGGCCTCTGTGATCTCTGTACCTCTTGGCACACACACCCAAGCATAACCTCCCAACCCACCAAATGCGTGTGGTGGGGGGGGACCCATGGCTTGCTTTTAACCATTAGAATATGGCAAAAGTGATGGAAAGTACATGAGTATCTGTATATGATTACATTACATAATATTTTAACATCTGTCTTGCAAAGAGACACAGTTTCCCTGCCAGCTTTAAAGAAGCAGGCTGTAAATGTGTTGTTGTCCTCTGAAAAAAAAGAAAAAAAAGAAGCAGGTTGGCATGTTGTAAGATGGCCACGCGGCAAGAAACAGCCTCTAGCCAAAACAGCAAGAAACTGGGACCTTCAGCCCAACCATGTGCAAGGAACTGAAGGCTGTCAACAACCACGTGGGCCTGGAAGCAGATCCTTCCCCAACTGCGCTTTGCCCTGACCAGCACCTTGACTACAGCCTTGCAGAGGAGCCAGTGAACCCATGTCAGAGTCCCAACCCCCTGAAACTGAGATAATAAATGTGTGTTATAAACCACTAAGTTTGCAGTAATATTTTTATGCAGCAACAGATAATTAATACAATAGTCTTTGCCTACATGGAGAATTCATTTCAGTTACTGGAGACATATAAGTAAGAAAACAACATGCTCAGATTTACAATTTAGAAAGCAACAGTTTGGAGGGTGGATTAAGGGAGATCAAAAGTTGAAGGTTAACGCTGTAGCCTAACATAAACAGAAAGATGAACCAAAGCTAAACTCACTAGCCTTCACTTGGGGAATCACAACAGTAGATGCAGAGTATGGCAGCCAGCCTCCACAAAGGCCTCCAAGAGCCTGCTCCCCAGTTCCTGACTCCAGACCATGAGACATAATAAATAACTTTGTTTTGGAGTGATTAGTTACATAGTGAGAGATAACTAATACCAAAGGGAGAAGTTAGGGAAAGGTGTGGAGTAAAGAGGCACAGACTCCATCTAGGAAGCTATGGGAGAGAATGCAAATACTGGATACAAGTGATTCCCACCCAGACTTCAAAGCTCTAGGCTTCATCTCTTCTGCCTTGGCGTTGCAGGAAAAATGCTAATTCAATGATTTGGGAATTCAGACATTCAACAACCATTTATTGAGTTCTCACTGTGCAAAGCATTAAGGACAACAGAAATAAGGTCCCTGCCTTCTACAAGTTTATTAGTAGAGATGACCCCTATCTATAAAGTTACCTACAAAATGAGAAATAAAGGGCCAGAGGAGTTCAAAGGAGGAGCAATTACTTCTGATTGGTGGGAATCATTCACAATATATTAATCTATTAATCCATTTTTCTGTTTTTCCCTCCAGAAATAGGATATATGGCTTTGACTTAGATATGGAGAGGGTCTGTGTTGCACATTACCTCTTAGGTATTAATAACCAATGCACCAAAAGGAATCCTGCCTTCAATTATGCCTACATTTGTTGTTGTTCAGTTGCTCAGTTGTATCTGATCCTTTGCAACCCCATGGACTGTAGCATGCTAGTCCTTCACTATCTCCTGGAGTTTGCTCAAACTCATGTCCATTGAGTCGATGATGCCATCCAACCATCTCATCTCCTGTCGTCCCCTTCTCCTCCTGCCCTCCATCTTTCCCAGCATCAGGGTCTTTTCCAATGAGTCAGCTCTTTGCATCAGGTGGCCAAAGTACTGGAGCTTCAGCTTCCATTAGTCTGTCCAATGAACTATTCCTTTCCTTTAGGATGACTAACAAAAGCTCTTCTACAATTATTTTGAAGAACCCTGAGGGTGCCAATGGGACCACTGCTCAAACCATGGAAACCACACACATGGGCCATGAGGACCCAAACATTTGTGTTACTGCAAGAGCACAAGCCCGGTATTTACCTTCCCTCTAGGATGTGGGTCTTTTCTCAGATCCCAGATACCCTATACCCTTGACTGAGCTACCGAATGCCCAGAATTTTTATTTTATTTTCATATCAGTCACACTTCAAAAGGAGATGAGATAGCTTGAACTTTTTATCACAAATTTCAGCCAGCATCTAACATTTCTCTCTTCTATAGTCCCCACATCAACCCACTTAGTGCCCCAAATACTGGCCCAACTGGGATCTACTCATTGAATTTTTTATTTATTTATTTTTGAGTTTTTAAAGTAAACTTTTATTTACTGATTTGGCTGCACCAGGTCTTAGGTGAGGCATGTGGGATCTAGTTTCCTGACCTGGGATTGAACCCAGGCCCCCTGCATTGGGAGCACAGTCTTAACCAGTGGACTATCAGGGAAGTCCCTTCACAGTGTTTATTAATCACACTATGAACTGTGGCTACTTTTCATTTGGACTTCACCATTTAGCAATAATTTAAAATGACAATTTTAAAGTTCTTCTTCCTATCATAAAATACGGGCATGTTTTAGAAAATATGGAAACCACAGGGTAACCAAAAGATATTTTATTCACAGTCCTTCCTTCTAGAAACAATCACTGCTAATATTTCAGTCTATTTCCATTCCCCCCCCACACACATAAAATGGTGATAGCCTGAAACGTTTCCAACCCTGCTTTATTCCCTACTTTAATTCACTCATTTGAAAGCAGGGCACTGCAAGGTGTGACTCATTCAAATGTGACTCCACTGGGGAGCCTGTCACGGAGCCTCAGGGACAGAGGGAAGCCTGAGGTGCCTCCAAAGTGACGCATTCACCTAGTGTTCCCAGCATCTTTTAAAGATAAAGAAAGATGCCGTTTGTGCCAGGACAAACACTTAAACAAGGGCGCAATCAAACGAGAAGGCTGTCCTTATCGACTGGGCCCAATGCAGTCAATGCAGGACGGTGTGACTCAGGAACTGGCAACAAGACCGCAGGTGCTCACTTTCCGCATGACAGGGGACCCAACATGTTCTTCCAGAGACCTGATTTTTGCTCAGTTCTCACTGTCCTGAGCCCTTGTCAATGAGCAGTTTTACAACTCCTACAAGAAAATTAACATCACACGGTGGAAAACTCCATCTCCAGATGTTTCTGCTACACACACTCACTCCGTCCTGGGGATCTGAGGGCTGCAGTGCCCTCCTCTGCACAAATGATATGGCTGCCAGAGCCCATCCTGATACTAAGGGCTATTAATATTTTTAAAAGGATAGTGGAGATTTTATAAAAGTAGTAGATAAGAACTCTTTTCCAGTTTCATGAGATAAGGGGAAGAGTGACAAGTGAAAAAAAAAAAACAGCCATCCTCAAACTGAGGAAGTGAGCCTTGTATCAAAAGGCTATAAAGGGAAAGAGGAAAAGTGTAATTTCTACTCTGTGCCAGAAATTACAGTCTAAGGACCTTATGTTAATCCTCCTCATCCCAGGAGTTATGTTTAACACTCCTCCCAGGTAGATATCTTCATTTCTTACTTTATAGGCAGGAAAAACTTAAGCTAAGAGAAGTTAAGTGACTTTTCTAATATCCACATCTAAGTGAGTAACAAGGCAAGGTTTTAAAAATTTGATTCTTCTAGTCATGGAAAGAGTCCATAAGTACATCAGATATGGACTTTAGACCTAGGTGGGCCCCTACCTGAGTGGCACTGGGCAAAGCATTTTTCCTTTCTGGACCTGTTTCCCCATCTGTCAAGAGAAGAGGTTAGGTAGAATAACATTTTGCCCCCATTTAGGACTGATGTTCTGTGACCCAAAGTTAGTTAGTGTTAATCGCTCAGTCGTGTCTGACTCTTTACGACTCCATGGAATTCTCCAGGCAAGAATACTGGAGTGGGCTGCCATTCCCTTCTCCAGGGGATCTTCCTGGCCCAGGGTTTGAACCCAGGTCTTCTGCACTGCAGGCAGATTCTTTACCACTAAGCCACCAAGGAAGCCCTCTGTGACCCAAAAGCCCCCTATAAATGTAGCACTTTACATTATTCCTGAGGGTAAGCATCTATCCTCCACCTCACAGGGCTCTTAATATAATCCTAAGAGGTCATCCAGTTATCAACTTATTCAGGTTCACTGATTAGCTGAAGTTCACTCAGCAAATCAGTGGGAGGATGCACTTGGCCTGATTCCAGGCACATGAGGGTCTCAGGCTTTTAGCACATCCCACATTATGTTTTATTTTTCCAGTCATGAAAAGCTCACTGAGATTTCCAGCGCTTAAAAACACTGTTTTGTTACTTTAAATAAAGCCAATAAGGGACTATACATAGTACTGGCTTTCTAGGCTACAAGCTGTCTTATTTTCCAGCTTTTCCCCATGACCAAGGTAATTTGTCTGGCCTTTGTCATGCTTTGCCAGAAACGAACTGACAGGAGGCTACTAGTTTGTATTCTAGAAGCAGAGTCAGTCACTTTTGGTTTTGGCAAGATAGCAGACAGACTGTCAAAACAGGATGAAGGCAGCAAATAAAGGAGGCACTCTCAGGAGACTGAGCTGGAAGGGGTCGGCTGGAGCTGGTGCTGGAGCAGTTATGACTGGAAAGCGGTAGGAAGTGGCCAGAGGACTGGCTGGGAAGGTAGTGGCGCTCCTACAGCAAGCTGACCCACATCCTCTCTGCTTACCTATAAACTACTGGCTGAATCATGATTACAGCACTTCACAAAGCACCTTCACGTCTACCATCTCACTGGGTGATCACAATGACCTGTGAATCAAACACTGGGGCACTGCATCACTTCTATTACAGAGATGAGGAAACCCAGGCTTACAGAGGTGAAACAGAATGAACAAAAAACACAACTAATAAATGCAACAGCTCTAACCAAAACCCAATTTTCTTCTGATCCCAAATGCTCACTCTGTGCCCTGTACCATACTTCCTCCCAGGTTACCACAGATGAAAAGATGTGGGTTGGTAAAAAAG